GTTTTCATCTTTAGGGAAGTTGCGTGCAGAGAGAAGTAATTTCGTTTGACTTAACCAGATTGAAAAACCAAAATGTATTTAGATTTTTACTGTTTGCCAACTGTTGTACTAAGCAGTTTCTACATATTAATCAATTCTGAGAGCAATCTCATGAGGCTTCTACCATAACTATTCCATTTTACAGGTGAGAAGGGTGAGGCTCAGGAGGGTTAAGTAAACAAGCAAGTAGTAAAGCCAGAACTGGACCCGCGCTTTCATCCACTGCCCTGTCAAGGCTGGATTCCAGTCTCGCGTGTTCTTGCCATGTCATTGCTCTCTTTGATCCTTGAGTCTCGGTATTTCCGTCTGTGAAATGGGGTCAAGGGACTGATCATCAGTTCCTGCTCGCTCAGGCGCAATCGCGAGCCCAGCAAGTGGATCATCTTGACAAGGGGCAAGTCCCTGAGGTGGTGAACAGATCTCCAGGCGCCGACCTGTTTCCATGACAACCTAACCAACCACCGCCTCCAGACGTAGTAGTGTACATCACTTCCGGCCCATTTACTTCCGGGTCTCGACTAAAACAGTGGCGACAGCCCCTAGGTTCGAAAGCGGATTTCGTAGATCCTGTACTCTCTCTTCTGCCTCCCGTTTCCTCTTCTGCCGCTTTGCTGTTTCTTTGCGGACGGGAGGCATCGGCTTCTTTCCAGGTTCAGCACGCAGGCGCAACCCCGCCCCTTAGGACCCGCCCCCGAGTCGTCACTTCCGGATACAGTGCTTCCGGGTCGCCGTTGGCCCCGGGTACTGGTTTTAGTCCCCTGCAGCTGGCCGGAGCGGCGAAAGTCTAGCCGGGCTTGGCTCCGGCGGCGGCCGCGCCTCCCGCTCGCTTCTCTCGGCCAGGCGGCGGCGGCGGCAGTCAGGGGTGAGTGGGGAGCGGCCGCGGCGAAACCGCCTCCGGCTTCCCGGGGCGGAGGGGCGCCCGACGCGTTAGGGCTCGGTGTGCCTGGGGGCCGCGGCCCCTCAAGTCCCGCCAGGTGTCCGTGGGCCGGCTCTCAGCGCCCGCGGGACCCCCAGCCGGTCCTCTCGACCCCCCATTCCTCCGGGGGCTGCCTCGCAGGCTCCCAGGGCTGGCCGAGGGTGGTTCGGAGCAGCTCGAGAGGAACACCCCGTCTTGGGTGACTAGTCAGGCAGGAAGCCACCCAGATCCCACAGTGAGGCAGGTACTGCGCAGTGGTCCCAGGTCAGGCTCGGGCGGCACACCCGGGTTCGAACACACTGCGTGACCTTGGATAAGTCACCCCATCTTGCGAGCCACAGTTGTTCCTTTTGTTACATGGAATGAACCTGACTGTTAGGGTCATAGTGGGATGAAAGGAGATGATGCAGGTGATGCACAGTCTGGCATACAGCAGGCATCCAATAAATGACAGCTCCTGTTACCTCATTCACAAGTCTATGGCGGGCTGGGGTGTGGCGTCTGAGGCCCTGGGTTCATCCCCAGCACCGCAAACAAACGAAAGCACCAACCCTTGGGCAGGGCCCGCGTTTAAGGCTGGGGTGTTTTCCACAACCAATGGGGCCCACAGAGGCCATGGAATTACCAAGCAGGGAATAGCTGCCGCCAGCTCATAATTCCATTAAGGAGAAGGCACAGCTTCCTTCAGAGCCCCCACGAGAGGCAGCTGGCAGGAGGGAAGCCGGCTTTCAGCCCCGCTCGGGTTATTTTCCGAGTGAGGAGGACCTCTGTGTGTATCTGGAGGCCAGTAGAGGCGTGGGGACGTGCTGGTGTTTCGCGTTTCGCAGCTAGCAAGGTGCCTTGTTTGCCTCTCCTGCTTGGATCAGAGTGCCCAGAGGTGGGAGGGGGGTGGGGAGAGGAGGGATGGAACTGCCCCACCCCATCCTGTTTGGAGGCCGAAGTTGGACCCTGGGTGGGTAAACCTGTGGATTGGGGTACTGGGACCAAAATAGCTTCCGCCTGTGCTGGGAGGGGGTGCCTTCAAGTACTGCTGGGGATGTTTCTGCTTGAATGGGCCAGCTGAGGTAAAGCCAAGCAAATGCTTTGCTTCCAGAATCATTTCAGTTCCGTTCAGCAGAACTTTAAAAAGAGATCTAGCTTTCCCTTTAGATGTTTAAAAATATGATCATTAGGGAAAAATCACTGTCTCCGACTGTGCAAAGGGGCCCAGGTTGTGGGAGCACCCAAGGGCTGTTAGCTCTGGGTATCCGCCTGGTTCTGTGTTCAGGATATATCACACGGGATTTTTTTTTCCCCCTGCCAGCCTGGCACGGCTAGTCGTCGTTCCAATCTTTGGGTTGCTTGGAGAAATTAACAGCTTCTGTCACTGGGCTGTCTTGCTCTCCTATACCCAGGCTGTGTTTTGCAGAGAGCATGTTTTTTGTTGTGCTTGCAGAATGCTGGGAATAATTTGCTGGCTGTGTGCTCAGAAAAGACACCAGCTATGACCAGCCACAAGGCAGCCTGTATTCTCAGAAAATGTATTCAGCAAGGATGATGTAACAGCCTCGCCACTGGCCGCTGTCTGGCCAGCCTCATCCCATGGCCCTTGCGCTTACATCACAGAGAGGTTTGTGGCTCTCCCAGCCCTCTCTGTGTGGGAAGATGGGAATTTTGCTACTGCAGGAAGTTTCAGAATTCAGCTAGGCTGCCCTACCACAGGGCATTCTAACCGAGTGAGCCTTTCAGGTGGTACCAACAGGTGCAGCAGGATGGCCTTGCTAAGAGGCAGAGTGTTGGGGGTTAGAATTAGGTCTCCAGCTGAGGTCCACTTCTTCCTAGCCCCATGGTGTAGGGTGAGTTGGCCCTGGGAGTCTCAGTTTTCCTCCTTAATATGGGGGGGTATCATGTGGGTTTTTTTGTTTTTTTGAGGAGGGTCCTCACACCCTTGGAAATAGTACTGATTGTATGAATGTGATCGATCGATGGGCCTGCTGGCCTGAGCCTCAGCTTCCTCAGAGTTGGAGTGGGACGCCTGCTGCCTGGCACCTAGTAGGCCCCTCGTGGTTAGTTTCATTTTCCTTCCTTCCTCCCTCCCTCCTTCAATTGTATCTTAGCGTTGACTTTCTTTGCCTTCTCCCTCCCCTGCCCTGGTCAGTTTAAAACTTCTTAGATGGGCTTCCCATCCTTGCCTTTAGGGTTTTGAGCACCAGCTGGCCTGCATGGGCCAGCAGCAAACAGGTGTGGACTGCAGGGTGACTCCAGAGCAGCAGCCTCTGAGCTGAAGGATGGAGTTGGAAGGAGGCTGGCTCTATTTTTTTTTTTCATTTTTCTTTTATTATTCATATGTGCAAGGAGGCTGACTCTAAAACGTCAGCCTTGTGGAGCTCAAGACTGACTTCCTTGAAGAAAAGTCATAGCAGTGTTTAGAAGGAGGCATGGTGTCCTATTTATTTATTTACTTATTTAATTTGTTTTTGCATGCTGGGGGTAGAACCCAGGGCCTCATGCACACTAGGCGAGCGCTCTACTGCTGAGCTCCACTCCTTGGTGTCCTTTGTAAATGGTCCTCAGATGAGCCACACAAACAGGACCAGAGGCAGGATGGAAGCTTCTCATAGACAAATAAAACCAGCAAGAGCATGTGGCACTTATTAGTGAGAACAGAAGTGTATGTCTTTTTTGCTGGCCTTTACTCTTTCCCTCTACTTCCCTTTCCCACCATTGTATCCAGGGACAGGCAGAAGGGGTGTTGCATAAACCCCCCCGTTGGACATGGGAATCTTGGTTGGTCAAAGGAACCCAGGTGTCACGTCAAAAGGCCACACTTGGAATGTTGGATCCACCTTTTATTGACCCTGAGCTACTGGTAGCATAGCATGCCATGTTTTGAGCCCATTTCTTTTCTCTCCAGCTGACCTCCCAGGATTCTTAGGAGGTACCAGTGAGAAACTAAAGGGGTGGCACGGTGGGTGCTTTTATCTGTTGCATCATTCGTTTCACTTGTTTATCATGCACCTGCTGTGCTCGAGGGTCTGGGTTAGGCACTGTGGTGAGCAAAGCGGAGACTGTCTTTGCCTTGTGAAGCCTGCTGGTGATGGAGGCGGAACTGTAACTGAGCAGACAGAGCTGATAATTTCAGATTATGTTTCTCCCAGGACAATGAGGGACAGGGAAAGTGGCGTTACTGGAGATGTGAGGTCAGGAAAGGCCCCGAAGGTTAACATTGGAGCTGAGGCCTGAATGATGAGTGAGCCAGCTCTGTGAAGAGTCAGAGAAAATACTCCAAGTACCATGTGTGTGTGTGCGGAGGCCCTGAGGTGGAGGTAAGGAACAGACAGAGATACATGCAGGTGAGCTCAGAGGGAAGGGAAGACTGCTGTGAGGTGAGGAGGAGTGGGTCCCACATAGAGCCCTCCACCTTGATCAAGAGGTAGAATGGCAGCCACCTCTTGTGCTCCTCAGGCCTATTTGGGGTTCCCTCTGCAGGTAATGGTGGGAGAAGGTGGCCTCTCTGTGTCCCTCATTTTGGTACACATTCTACCTCTCACTCCACTGTTAATACTTCCAGGAGTCTTACCCCAAAGTGGGGAGAGCCAGGCCAGTGAGACAAGAGTGATTTTATTGACCTCATGATAATTGCCTGGCTTCTAGGCCCTCCTGAGCTGAGCACAGATCTGCTAAAGGACCCCACAGGCCAGGCCCATGCCTGCAGCAGCTGCTTCCTCCGTCCGTCATCCTCCGCTAGCAGATATTCATGAGGCAGTACTCCACCCAGGCACTGTGCAGAGGTTACCTCAGCAAGATGGCTGCAGTCCTGCCCATGTAGCTTCTTGCCAGGAAAGGCAGGACAGGAGAGGGTGGGATGCACAGCCACCCCAGGTTGGAGGTGGATGGCCCACTTCTTTTTCTTTTGTTTCCAGTACTGGGATTTGAACTCATCCCTCATGCTTGCTAGGCAGGCATTCTTACTGCTTGAGCTATTCTGTCAGCCCTTTTTTTGGGTATGATCAGGTCTCACAAACTATTTGCCTGGGCTGGCTTCAAACTGAGATCCTCCTGATCGCTGCCTCCTGACTAGCTAGGATTACAGACATCAGCCACCAGCACCTTGCTAGCGGTACCTTCTTGAGAATGCTTGCATCTTGAGGGCAGTGCACTTCAGAGAACCATCAGGGCTGGCAGGGGCTTACTTGCAGTCAGCATTCTGCAGAGAGCAGTGCGTGCTGGTCATGTGTAATCCAGCGCTAACTCTGGGCTCAGATGAGAAAACTGACCCAAGAGGTGGAGTGACCTGGAGAAGCAGCCCAGAGACCTGGGCCTGCTCTGGACTGTGTTGTCTCCCGTGGCCCTGGCACTGTCTTCTGTGAATCCAGATTTGCCCAGCATCGTGGCAACAAGAACACTGCTCTACTAAAGTGGGTGAGCTCATAAGATGCTGGACATCCTGTGCCCAGCTCAGAGCAGTCTGTTTTCTCCATGGGATGTAAAAATCTAAGGTAAAGGCAAACAGACCATCAGGGCACTGTGGAGGGCGGGGCACCACAGCGGTATCTGTGAAAGTGAATACGTTCATGTCCCTTCTCCCTTGCTTTCTACTCCTCCATGGCTTCCCGTGGCTCTTTGAGTAAATAAACTATGAATTTGTAGGCGGGGGTGCTGGGAATGGACCTCTGGGCCTTGCGCAGAAAAGCAGGCGCTCCACCCTAGCCATGCCTCCAGCTCATCCCGCCCCTCCCAAAAAAAGAAGTCCTTAATGTACCCTTGAGGCTTTGGGGTCAGGCCCTACCTATGCCACAGCTGCATATCTTGTCGCTCCCTCTGCTCTCGCTGCCCTGCCTCGCCACCTCCTTTCTGTTGGTGCTAAGCTCCTTCCTGTCTCAGGAAAGCGGGGTGTGGTAGGAAGGGCATGGACTCTGGAGCCACAGCCTGGTTCTGCTCTCAGCCGGGCCTTGGGGAGTCTGTGAACCTGGGTGGGTTTCTTGATGTCTCTATCATGGTTTTGACCTGGGGCCCACAGGAGTGAGCACTCTGCTGTGTCAGTCCAGCGCCGCCTCCTGCACACGCCTCTGCAGTTGCACCCATGCCCACCCACCTTGGAACCTGGCAGCCTCCAATCCCTCAGGCTTTGACTCTGCTGTAGGAGCTTTCCTTAACCCTCCTCCTCTTCTCCACAAAAACGAGTTCATGCCCCTGTTACCCTCACCTGAACCTTCCCTTCGGGGTATTAGTCATGTTTCATGTGTGAGCGTAATGAGGTCAAAGGCCTTGACTGGCTCATTTTCACTGTCACCTTGCATCCACACACGTTCTGTAACTGCTGAATGAGGAGTGCATGGGGACTTAGGGCTGGGGAGCCCAGGCCAGTGCCAGTGTGGTCAGAAGCTGGTGTATTGACGTGCTTCTTGTTCCTCTCCTTCCAGGGCACTCTCCTGGCCCAGGCGGGCAACATGTCACTGCTTTTAGCAATGTCGCTCCCTGCATCCCAGAAGTCATGGAGGAGATAAGGTAGCCCCAAGCCCATGGGGAAGCCCAGTTCAATGGATACAAAGTACAAAGATGACTTATTCCGGAAGTATGTGCAGTTCCATGAGAGCCAAGTGGACACCACCCCCAGCAAGCAGCGGCCTGGCAGCGATGAGTACCTGCGGGTGGCAGCCTCCACACTGCTCAGCCTGCACAAGGTGGATCCCTTCTACCGCTTCCGGCTGATCCAGTTCTATGAGGTGGTGGAGAGCTCCCTGCGCTCGCTGAGCAGCGCCAGCCTGCGGGCCTTGCACTGCGCCTTCAGTGTGCTTGAGACGGTGGCCATCAATCTCTTCCTCTACCCGTGGAAGAAGGAGTTCCGAAGTATCAAGGTGAGGCCTCCTTCTTTCTGCCCCTCCTGCTGTCCTGAGGGGCAGAGCCCCTGTGCTTTCAGAGCCCCCAGTTCCGGTTCCTAGCAACTGAGAGCTGGTTTGGAGGAGGGTCCCAATGGGAGGAGGGGAGTTTGACAGATTGGATTCTGAGTTTCTGTGGCAGGGAGAGCTTAGGGGTCTGTACCAAGCAGGTTCCTCAGACCTTCACAGAGGAGTATTTCCAGAGCTGGGGCCGGCTGCCTACCATCTGCTCCTCTTTCTTCACCGTCTCTGCACTGGCTTCCGCTTCACATGGAGCAGCGCCTGGGCCCTCCGCAGTCTCCCTCTGCTGGGGTGAGGGGTGCATTTCCTCCCGTGGCACTGTAGCTGCTGCCTCTGTAGAGGAGCTACCGAGACCCCCACATCCCTCCCTCTCCCACCTGCCTGCTGCAGACTCGTGTCCTTTGTCTGACAAGTCTCGGTGTGTGTCTCCAAGAGACATTCCCATCTCTGGGTTCTAACCCTTTCTTTTCCCTAGACCTATACGGGCCCTTTTGTTTACTATGTCAAGTCTGCACTGCTGGAGGAGGACATCCGAGCCATCCTGCACTACATGGGCTATGTGCCCGAGCTGGGGACTGCATACAAGCTCAAGGAGCTGGTGGAGACCCTCCAGGTGAAGATGGTGTCCTTTGAACTCTTTCTGGCCAAGGTCGAGTGTGAACAGATGCTGGAGATCCACTTGCAGGTGAAGGACAAGGGCTATTCTGAGCTGGACGTGGTGAGCGAGCGCAAGAGCAGCACGGAGGATGCCCGCGGCTGCTCAGAAGCCCTGCGGCGGCGGTCTGAGGGCAGGGAGCGCCTCACCACCTCCATGGCTCGGGTGGCGCTACAGAAGTCAGCCAGTGAGCGGGCGGCCAAGGACTACTACAAGCCCCGTGTGACCAAGCCCTCCAGGTCAGTGGACACCTACGACAGCTACTGGGAGAGTAGGAAGCCACCCTTGAAGGCCTCATTGAGCCTGCGGAAGGAGCCCATGCCCACAGATGTGGGGGACGACTTGAAGGACGAGATCATCCGCCCGTCCCCCTCACTTCTGGCCATGTCCAGTTCCCCCCATGGTAGCCCAGATGACATGCCACCTGCCTCCCCCAGCAATGGCCTTGGCCTGCTGCGCACCACATACTTCTCCGCTCAGGACGACGTAGATCTGTACACAGACTCGGAGCCCAGGGCCACCTACCGCAGGCAGGATGCTCTGCGGTCTGATGTGTGGCTGGTCAAAAATGACGCCCACCCCTTCTACCACAAGCGCTCACCCCCGGCCAAAGAGTCTGCCCTCTCCAAGTGCCAAAACTGCGGCCTGTCCTGCAGCTCCTCCCTCTGCCAGCGCTGTGACAGCCTGCTCGCCTGTCCTTCGACCTCCAAGCCCAGCGCCTTCCCCAGCAAGGCTCCTGCCCACGAAAGTCTGGCCCATGGGGCACCTCTGCGGGAGAAGTACGCAGGCCAGACTCAGGGCCTCGACCGGATGCCACCACTCCAGTCAAAGCCTAAGCCCTCCACCTCAGCCACCTCCCGCTGTGGCTTCTGCAACCGCCTGGGTGCCTCCAACACCTGCACCCAGTGTTCGAAAGTCTCCTGTGACGCTTGCCTCAGCGCCTACCATTACGACCCCTGCTGCAAGAAGAGTGAGCTGCACAAATTCATGCCCTCCAACCAACTGAACTACAAGTCCACGCAGTTCTCCCACCTCGTGTACAGATAGACTCCACCGCACCTTCCCGCTCCAAGGGCTACACCACTCACCTCCTGGCTTTACGGTGAAGAAGTGGCACAGTGTCCATCGTAAGCAGGACCTGCACTTGGCTGTGTAGGTGCCAGGGGCCCACCTGCTCACCCATGTGGGCATTCACTTTGCAACTCACATTTCAACTGATAGCTGCTTTGTTGGCTGACAAGGGAGAGGGTAGCACTTCCGTTCAGATTGCTTTTTGCTAATCTCTCCACTCCCTGTTGAGCTGGTTTTTGTTTTTGTGTTCGTTTTCCTTGAAAGAGAATTTCTCTGTGGGACTCTTGCCATGTCTGTGCCCTCCCCCACCCCCCACTGCGAAGCCAACTGGGACTGGGAAAGCCCTCCAGACCCCTCCAAATGCCCCCTGGAGTGGCGAGCTAGAGGCCTATTGGCTTGTGAAATGAGCCCTCCTGCCACACTGGGCCTCTCCTGATGGCTCATCCCTTTGGCCACCCTGTCCCCAGATACAAGGATCCCCAGCCAGACTCCCTCCTCCAGCTGTCAAAGGTGAACCAAGTCCAGTATTACCTGAATGTCATTGTGCTGCCACCACAGCACGGTCAGCCCATGGTGTTTGTGACTTTTGCTCCAACATGGTGAGATGAGAACTTGCCACAGCAGGATTGGCTTTCCCTTTTCTGTTTGCACACGCCCCTCTTACTGTACTGTAAATAGATATTTTCGAGATTTATTTTTAAATAAATATTCAACTTGCTCTGTGCTTGACAGTGGTTAAGATGAATGACGTAGTTGTTTATGAAAATGCCCTGGGCTCTTCAGTCTTCCAAGGGCCTCTTGCCCTTCCCTCTGCTCTGCTCTGCGCTGCTCTGCCTCCTCTTGAGCTCACGGTGGGAGAGAAACAGACGGCGCCCGCTTTCTGTGAGTTGGTGGAGAGCTACTGTCTTCCCTACAATAAATTCCGTACACCTACCTCCAGGGTGCACATAGGAGGTCTGCACCTGCAGACTGACACCCACTGATGGTTTGGGGACCCTGGGGGTCCCTCAGATCTACAGCCCTGGTCTTTGGCACCTGCTGACGGTGAATTCTGCACTCCAAACTCCCCAAGTCTCATTGTAGAGGATCAGATGGGGCTCCCACCACTCCCACCTCAGCCCTCCTCTCCTCACCATTTTCTGAGACTCAGCAGCAGCAACACTCCCAATCTTTTTGCACTAGAAACGGGCAGAGGCAGTGTGTGTGCGTCAGACAGAGACAGACGCCTTCCAATACTCAACTGAGCCTCTGTGCTTCCAAACCCGAAGCCTACCACTCCTATGTAAATCACCCACCTCTGGGTTTTCCTTTTGGGAGTGCAGAACAGGAGTGGGGCAAGAATTTGGAAATAAATTGCCTCCTTGTGAACTAGTCTGCTTTAGCCATAAGTGTTGGTGACGCACACGCCATTAGGGGCGTGCT